ATCCCTTTCAGTAAGTCTATAGTAAAATATAGTGACCTGGAATTGTAGTTATATTTAGAGTTGCTCATTTGAAAAGAATTTTATCAATACGCAGGAAGTAGATATTTTGTTCAGAAAGCCCCAGACAATTGATACTTGTTTCTTCGTTAAAACACAATTGGCCTTTTAGTCTTAATCACCCAGTCTCTTGAATAATTGATAATGATGAAATGGTAGATGAATTATCCAGTACTGTCATTGGACTATTAATTACCTCCCTTTATGATCGTGTAATAAAGTGTTATGAGAATCACCACACGATATTAATATTGTATTATGGGTAATCAATATAATGGTGTCATATCTAAGGAATATTACGCGTTAATTTCTGATGTATAATTAGCTGTAAGAGGCATGAAGTTTTATTGATAGGAGAGTCAATTATTAAAGTAATGCCACCTCTAAGATGGACCTTAAAGGGACAAATGCGCCATTTTTTTGACCGATCATACTTAAATGTCAGAATCGGGAATTTTTTTTACCTTAGCCAATCTGTAATAGTGTTCACAGCTCATCTGAGATTTCAAATCCATGTGTGTTCAGAATTATCTGCCTTTGAAAGTTAAAAAGACAAGTCTTCTTTTTTTGAGATACTGCCATATAAAAAAATAACATCTATAGAAATAGGAAACGAGAGTCCAATATGAGATATTTAAATTTTATGTTTATTCTAAAGGTGAAAATTCTTAAAAGTCAATTATTAATATGTATTTAGTCTCTACTTTTTCTTTAAAAAGTTTTACCATGTTCTTCGAACATTATGACAGTTTAGATATCTAACTTTGAAGATAAATTTCTGTGGTTCTACTGGCAGTTTTCGCTGTTCATAATTTTTCTATATTTTATATTAAATCTATTAAGAAAATAAAATGTGTTTGCTGCAGGCTATGAACTGCTCTTTTGTTGTTAATACTGTTTAAAATCCTAACATATTTTACAATGTCTATATTGATATTTTTTATCATAGTAAGGTTGTTTTTTTAGTTTTTAAATATTTTAGTAGATACAATGTTAAGATATTTGATATCTTTCTAAATAATATATTATAAAATTCTTATTGAACTAGCTTGTTATTAAAATACAAGCTACAGGATTAATCTACTGTCTTTGCAAATTTTTATCTCTTTGCAAATTTTTTCCTCATTCAGACAGACGTCGGAATGAACATTTTCAATGGTGCAAATTGATGCTATCAGTGTCCCCGATACACATAAAAAGTTTAAAAAACCTCTTTACAATATCTTTAAGTGATAATTCAGTGTTTGGTCTTCCATCCAGTAGGAACAGTAGAAATAAAGTACTGAAGGAAGATAAAAAATAAGGTGTCTAGATTTCTAGAAGTATTAATCCTGGGATATATATTAATTCACCTTTTATTTGTTATTTTTTCCACCTAAAGATCCTATCATAATTTTCTCCACGTGCCAGATCGTAAACAGATGGTCTTCATTCATTCACTTATTTATTGTTTTAACGGCTTTCAAAATCAGCCAACCACAGAACTTGTTACATTTAATTTAGTTCACCTGACAACCATAACTTACCGTTACCTAGCAACATATAGAAAATATATCCCGGTCTTTTTGATATTGTAATACAAAGTAAAGATGTTGTCATAAATCTTTCAGTGTGTCTGGTGATCTCGTTACTAGTCTCTTGAAATTGTTTTTTAAGGTTTCCCAAAATGACAGGATAAAAAAAAATCTGACGTACATCAAAATAGTTTTAATATTTTCTGAAATATTTCATGGCTTCTACTTTTAACTCTCATTGAAAATGTCTGACAACTCTACAAGATAATCAAGAGCAAATCAAGATTAAAAACGTATTTATTCTAGTCCAGATTATATGAACTTTGTGTTCTAGTTGTATGATTGAACAAGCACTATAAAATTGATCTTGAATTTCTTTTCTTTTTTTCCCAATAACATTAGATCTATTTAATAAAACCTTGATTTTTCTGTTTTAAACTTTTGACATTTTTGGACCCATTTTAAGTGGAACAAATCAAGTTAGTTGTTTCAGGAAGAGGAAGAATTGTGCCATGATAGTGACAAACATTTCTTCCTCGGCCTGTGCTTATGTAATTTAAATTTTTTTTTTTTTCAACCACTTTCACCTATATATCAATTGAAAGTTTAGAATTTTGAATTACAATAAAAAAACAGGTAAAACATGCCAAATAAAACCTCTTAAGTAACTTTTATATAAAAACATACACTTTACACTGTCATATCTACTAACTAAAATATATTCCTTGATGCCAAACCAGTTAAAAATATTTCCAAATACAGTTAACTCAAATTTAGTTTTATGCCTTGAATTGGTGACTTTATGATAAAAGCTAGCTTGCCAGGCAAGGTAATAAACTGGTGTATATACAGTGATTCAATGCATACAGAATTAAAAATAATACTTGACATCTACAACATTTCATGTTCTTTTTTTTTTGATTTTCCAACTTGAAGTATCTAATTCAAGAAAAATCATTAAATTATTAAAAAATTACTCTTTATACTTTCAGGAATTAAAGATTGGATTATCCAGTTTGTTTGAGAGATTAGTAAAGGATTTTAGCAGTGACGACAGGAATATCCAGTGTTTTTTCTAGGATTATTATATTGTGTTGTTATTAAGGATTAATGTAACGATGATTAAATGAAGCTTGGAATACCAGGGTGAGTTATTATATCAATATTATAATATCTATAAGTTAAAATCTACAGACCTATAAATATTGTCTTACAGAATAAATACTTACTTTACCAGCTGATAGAGCTCAATTTCAGCTATCTGTATAGTTTTCTTAATATTAACTTTACCAGCTGATAGAGCTCAATTTCAACTATCTATATAGTCATCTCAATATTTACTTTACCAGCTGATAGAGCTCAATTTCAGCTATTTGTATAGTCATCTTAATATTTACTTTACCAGCTGATAGAGCTCAATTTCAACTATCTATATAGTCATCTAAATATTTATTTTACCAGCTGATAGAACTCAATTTCAGCTATTTGTATAGTCATCTTAATATTTACTTTACCAGCTGATAGAGCTCAATTTCAACTATCTATATAGTCATCTAAATATTTACTTTACCAGCTGATAGAACTCAATTTCAGCTATTTGTATAGTCATCTAAATATTTACTTTACCAGCTGATAGAACTCTATTTCAACTATTTGTATAGTCATCTAAATATTAACTTTACCAGCTAATTGAGCTCAATTTCAGCTATCTGTATAGTCATCTAAATATTAACTTTACCAGCTGATAGAGCTTAATTTCAGCTATCTGTATAGTCATCTAAATATTTACTTTACCAGCTGATAGAGCTCAATTTCAACTATCTATATAGTCATCTAAATATTTACTTTACCAGCTGATAGAACTCAATTTCAACTATCTGTATAGTCATCTAAATATTTACTTTAACAGCTGATAGAGCTTAATTTCAGCTATCTGTATAGTCATCTAAACATTAACTTTACCAGCTAATTGAGCTCAATTTCAGCTATCTGTATAGTCATCTAAATATTAACTTTACCAGCTGATAGAGCTCAATATCAGCTATCTGTATAGTCATCTAAATATTAACTTTACCAGCTAATACAGCTCAATTTTAACTATCCAACTCTTCTGCATTTCGAAAAATAATAGTCTGCTAATTTAAACTGAAGTCACTTCTAGTCATTAATAAATATCTATACAAGCAAGTCAATTCCATTAATCTGGTCTAAAGTATGGTAAAATCTAGAGTGAAAGTTAGGACTGTATAGTAGTGTGTTTTTCTTTTGTCTAATAAATATACTAACTCACAGAGGGAACAATTTTGAGAGTAATAAGGTTTTATTTTTTAATGTTTGTTTTTTATTAAAACTAATTGGTTTGTTGTACGAGCGTTTAAAGAGTTTTTTTCTACATTAACTTGTGAATATCATCAAAAAGGGTTGAGTTTTTGTAAGTTCACAGGAGCGACAAATTACTTGGTGTTAATTTCGTAATGGCTTGTAAGTTAACGTCTAAAAATGCAATCTGTCTGTATATTTGATGAGTAAGCTAATATAGGATGAAGTGAATGGAGGCCCAGGATTCGACTCAGCAGTTTTCTAGGCCAGACAACTCATTGGTGTAATTATGTCTAAAATTAGGCTGGTCATTATATGCATTGAATAGTGTAGGTTAGACTGGTTGAATGGATGGCCTACTTCCATCACTGTCTGTAGTACTAAGCTTATATACACAGGTCTCTTGAGGACAGAAGATTGTATTCCCATGTATAGTTAGTCTTATACCTTGAAACTGAAAGTAGAGGTGGTCTAATCACCTGTCAAATTATGATTGGCTGTATATGCTGGCGTACAATCCAATCAAATCACTGTATTCCGTGATACATACAGAACAGTGGCTACAGCAGTCAAGGTAAAAGCTAGACATTGTGAAAATGAAGTTCGTAAAAGCTAGACATTGTGAAAATGAAGTTCGTAAAAGCTAGACATTGTGAAAATGAAGTTCATAAAAGCTAGACATTGTGAAAATGAAGTTCGTAAAAACTTGACATGGTGAAGATTTTTTAGATGATATATTGTGAATAGTTGAACAGTCTTGTCTGATGATGTCACATCTCCTATCTGGTGACAGGATCCTCTGGTAGTTAGTCATCAGGAAGTTTAGTTGGGAAGTTCTCCGACATTACAGAAGTACAATGAATAAAATCATTTGAAATATAAATAAGATATATTATGAATAGACACCAGGAACCATCTGGTTTGGATTTGAGTTGAACCGGTATATACATTATGGTGTCCAATCAGCTAGCAGTCTGCTAGCAGCTTAAAAAAGACCTTTCACCCCCTAATACTTAAAAAAGAGTCAGCCTGTTCGGCTCTCACCCCTTAATACCTATGCTTGCCCATGTCAGGCTTTTTGAATAATTCCTTGAAGGGGATTAACAACTTTCAAACTGTAAACTTCAACGTTGGGTTGGAACACTGTCTTTTTGTGGCAGTGGAATAGCTCAGTCGGTAGCGAGTTGGGTTGTCGTTTGCTAGGACAGTGGAATAGCTCAGTCGGTAGCGAGTTGGATTGTCGTGTGCTAGGACAGTGGAATAGCTCAGTTGGTAGCAAGTTGGGTTGTCATCTACTAGGACAGTGGAATAGCTCAGTCGGTAGCGAGTTGGATTGTCGTGTGCTAGGACAGTGGAATAGCTCAGTCGGTAGCAAGTTGGGTTGTCATCTACTAGGACAGTGGAATAGCTCAGTCGGTAGCGAGTTGGGTTGTCGTTTGCTAGGACAGTGGAATAGCTCAGTTGGTAGCAAGTTGGGTTGTCATCTACTAGGACAGTGGAATAGCTCAGTGGGTAGCGAGTTGGAATGTCGCCTGCTAGGACAGTGGAATAGCTCAGTGGGTAGCGAGTTGGATTGTCGTGTGCTAGGACAGTGGAATAGCTCAGTTGGTAGCAAAGTGGGTTGTCATCTACTAGGACAGTGGAATAGCTCAGTCAGTAGTGTGTTGGATTGTCGTCTGCTGGGACAGTGGAATAGCTGTGTCTGTGTGCCTGTGTCAGTGCTTCCGAGAGCAAATACCTGAACTCATATTCAGTTAGACTAAATAAATACAAAATGTATCAAACCCAATAACAAAGCCAGAACATGTTACATCAAAGAATATTTTGGGAAAAATATAAGAAAAAGAAACAAATAACAAAGAAAAATTTACTGCACCCTCTTTCTGATGTTAAAATATAAAAGACAAAAAAAAAATCAAAAGAAATTAAATTCCACATAAAATAACAACTGTATTCTTGTTTTAAAAATATTCAGAATAAAAAAACAGGTATGATTCACACGTTTTTATAAGATAGTTATAACACGAAGGTATAATTAAAAACATACCAGTTAATTAGGATTGTTTGATATCAGGTATCTCACGGCAGGTAGAACGTCAAAATCTCGTTAAACTGGCAGACAGACAGGTAAATTCAGCAGGTAGATAGAGAAGAACTCGTTAGAAAGATGATTTAAAATCATTACTATCTCATTGATTAAAGAACTATGTCTAGTTGGTTTATTTTTTATATTTGTCAAAACGTAGTCTATAAATAGTTTAACGTAATGATTTTACAAAGGCAGGGTGTACCATAATGAATCATCTTTCCCTCAAATTTCTACTAACTATATCCTACTAGTGGTTGTAGATTGAGTTTTAATCAATATTCAGTTCTTTCTTACAAATGATTGAGCTAAATCTCGGCTGAAATATCATGTATATCCACAAATAATTAAGCTGCTAAAAAATACTTGTTAATTGTGATGAACAATTAGTGTTTCTATACAGTAGGGACTAAAATCTAACAATGATAGGGATAGAATTTTGAGTGAATTTTGATTAATTGTTGTAGATGATTTACCAAAAAAACATGACACAGTAAATGATCTGAGCACTTTTGTGACAGAAAACTTGACCTTGATTTTATCTGTTGTTGAAGTCAGTAGTTGTAAATAATACCTGAGATTATTATTACTTGTGGGAGTAGACCAAAACATCTGTCTCTATTCCTGCCTCTAATAGCTATTTTACAGATGTCAGATGGTGTAGAGACAGAAAAACTAGGCCCTGTAAAATGGGGACTTTCCGCATCTGTGCAGGTGCAGGGTGTTTTAAACTATACCATTGAGAATTGATGAATTGATGTTGCACTGAAATATACAATAATATATGGGACTATTTGACCTACTAATAATATGAATACAAGAATTGAGTTCTCTAAATTTAGACTAAGACAGGTCCATTGTTTCAAGATATATCAACATCTGATAGTTATTGGAATAAAACTGTTGATATTATTCTAATCTGACATATATAACTACTAAATATTGTTTTATCAGAGTGTCAGGTATTTATTCTATAACATTGTTCTTTCTGATATCTCCCAGGTTATAACTTTGGCGTTCAGATATCTCCCAGGTTATAACATTGTTCTTTCTGATATCTCCCAGGTTATAACATTGTTCTTTCTGATATCTCCCAGGTTATAACATTGTTCTTTCTGATATCTCCCAGGTTATAACATTGTTCTTTCTGATATCTCCCAGGTTATAACATTGTTCTTTCTGATATCTCCCAGGTTATAACTTTGGCGTTCAGATATCTCCCAGGTTATAACATTGTTCTTTCTGATATCTCCCAGGTTATAACATTGCACTTTCAGATATCTCCCAGGTTATAACATTGTTCTTACTGATATATCCCAGGTTATAACATTGTTCTTTCTGATATCTCCCAGGTTATAACATTGTTCTTTCTGATATCTCCCAGGTTATAACATTGTTCTTTCTGATATCTCACAGGTTATAACATTGTTCTTTCTGATATCTCCCAGGTTATAACATTGTTCTTTCTGACATCTCCCAGGTTATAACATTGTTCTTACTGACATCTCCCAGGTTATAACATTGTTCTTTCAGATATCTCCCAGGTTATAACATTGTTCTTTCAGATATCTCCCAGGTTATAACATTGCACTTTCAGATATCTCCCAGGTTATAACATTGTTCTTACTAATATCTGCCAGGTTATAACATTGTTCTTTCTGATATCTGCCAGGTTATAACATTGTTCTTTCTGATATCTCCCAGGTTATAACATTGTTCTTACTGATATCTGCCAGGTTATAACATTGCGCTTTTAGATATCTCCCAGGTTATAACATTGCGCTTTTAGATATCTCCCAGGTCATATTGGGTTAAAACAATGTTCTTTTTCATAGCTTCCAGGTTGGATAAGGATAACGGAAATAGAGGGTTAGGTATTGTTGATAAGAAAAATCTGTGGTAAGATTGTTTGGAGAATACATAGCCTGGTTATAAATCTGCATGACATTTATAGAATCACATATTCAATTACTAATTTATATCTAGAAACTCAATCTGGTCAATAATTCAACGTCAACATGGAGACAGATTTTCAATTTTCCTCTTCATTGGTTCAGAATTTAAAACTAATTGGTGAAATCTTTAAGAAAACAGATAAAATTCAGAATGATATAAAACCTGTTAAAGGGATAGATTTGCTAATTTGGGGGTCAATCGAACTTTAGTCTCAGAAATGTGAATTCTTCACGGATAAGATAATGATGTGAATTGAATTTTATTCATTAGCAACCCATAGACTTCATGATTTTTCCACGCTGCTATTCAGAAAGATACCTTCTGATTTATCAATCTGGATTCCAGCTGTCAGTGATGCAGATTCGGGCTGACATGTAATAAAGCTCTTGAATTCGGACAATAAACCGAGGTTTGGTTGTGCAACAGTCTATGCATGTTAAAGATCCTGCCACTGTCCTGGCAAAATTTCCCCCATGCACACTGCATGGCAGTGCCTGTCTTCCTTAGCCGATAAGGTGCAGAAAAGTAGGACGTAAAACTCATTTCATTTCAAGTCCAAGCTATAATAAAATTATTCAAGGTTTTGGTTTGGCAGACGTCTTACATTAGTAAAGGTCAGCAGTGAGATTAGGAGCAGAAGTGGAGGAAATGTAAACAGTTGTCATGGAGAGTAGGAACGCAGACAGAACAGGAAGTGGAAGTTTATTTAGAAGTCCCGCAGTCAGAAATAATAAGAGGATTTGTCTATTTCTGTTCACGCCATTTGACATCTTATAAAAGAAGCATTATTAGGTTTTTTTTATCTTATATGACAAAGATTGAAATTAACAGTACGTAAAGTTTGCGAACTGCTTTACACTTTCTCAACGTTTAGAAATACTTCTCCTATATGTCATTTTCTAAAATGTTCTCTCGATATATTTTGGCAGTGCAAATTATAATCATTCTATGATTTTGCATTAAATAATGGAACACAAAGTTTATATGATATACTACTCCCTATTGTACACAATGTTTCAACAATTTACATTGTTATCATCAGTTTATATGGTATACTACTCCTGGGTTTTATAGTACACAACGTTTCAACAATTTACATTGTTATCATCAGTTTATATGGTATACTACTTCTGGGTTTTATAGTACACAACGTTTCAACAATTTACATTGTTATCATCAGTTTATATGGTATACTACTCCTGGGTTATATTGTACACAGCGTTTCAACAATTTACATTGTTATCATCAGTTTATATGGTATACTACTCCTGGGTTATATTGTACACAGCGTTTCAACAATTTACATTGTCATAATCAAGAGAAAATATATCTATTTGGGTATAACTTTGGATTTTTTAGAAAATTACACCTCCAACTATGATTCTTGCTTGCTAGCTATTGGTTAATTCATGTTGGAAAGTTAACCTGCAAAATAAAGAGTGAACTTAGAACACCCTCATATTGAATACATTTCTTAGTAACGGCAGTTTTCAGCCATTTTTCCTGCTGTAGATTTGGTTTTTAGGGACAGCAAGTAGACTATTTCTTCATATGACGTCTCTATCTTTCAATAGATGATGTAATTTGCTTTATGAACCTCACAATCAATGTGTAAGATGTGAAGAAGATCTATTCTTTCTGTCATTTTTAGGGTCAAGATTGAAATAGTTTTAACAATTTACGATCATCAAAGAAAAATCTTTATTCGAAAACTATTTTAAGATTCTATGATGTTGCAGAAATAGAAAAACAATTCAATTATACGAGATACATCAATGTCAGCAGACAACATAAAACAAAATGATGGATTCTCTTTTTAAAAATTATTTATTTCTAGAATCCGGTACAGTAGTACTTTCATGTTAAGAGGATAATCAGGACATCTTCACAATATCAAGCTATTACAAACTTCATCTTCACAATGTCAAGCTATTACAAACTTCATCTTCACAATGTCAAGCTATTACAAACTTCATCTTCACAATGTCAAGCTATTACAAACTTCATCTTTACAATGTCAAGCTATTACAAACTTCATCTCCACAATGTCAAGCTATTACAAACTACATCTTCACAATATCAAGCTATTACAAACTTCATCTTTACAATGTCAAGCTATTACAAACTTCATCTTTACAATGTCAAGCTATTACAAACTACATCTTCACAATATCAAGCTATTACTAACTTCATCTTTACAATGTCAAGCTATTACAAACTTCATCTTCATAATGTCAAACTATTACAAACTTCATCTTTACAATGTCAAGCTATTACAAACTTCATCTTCACAATGTCAAGCTATTACAATCTTCCTCTTCACAATGTCAATCTATTACAATCTTCCTCTTCACAATGTCAATCTATTACAATCTTCCTCTTCACAATGTCAAGTTATTACAAACTTCCTCTTCACAATGTCAAGCTATTACAAACTTCCTCTTCACAATGTCAAGCTATTACAAACTTCATCTTCACAATGTCAAGCTATTACAAACTTCATCTTCACAATGTCAAGCTATTACAATCTTCCTCTTCACAATGTCAAGCTATTACAAACTTCATCTTTACAATGTCAAGCTATTACAATCTTCCTCTTCACAATGTC